AAAAAAAAAAAAAAAAGAAGTGGCCTAAAGCCAAAAACTCAGGCATGGTTTTGTTTATTCATGTAGCTTTCCCTGACTGAGCATGCCCAGACTCGATGTGATGAACAAGGTGGGCTTGGGTCAGGCTCTTACAGACCCGACAGTCTAGCAGTGATGGTGGACCTTCTAGAGACCTAGAGTTCCAACTGCAAAACCCAGTTATTTAAACATACAGTGGCAAGCTGAGTGTTCGGCTGCTGGGGCAATGCTGGGTGACTTGGTTTGCTGGGACAACTCAGCTGTCATGCGGACAGAGAGGGCTCTGTGTGTCACTGCAATACACATGTTACAGGTTCTCCATCGCTGGTCTAGTGGGAGAAACACAGAAACGGGCCCGAGATGGCTCAGTGGTCTAAAGCACCTACGTACAACAAGCTAAGCTAAGCAAAGCACAGGGACCGCAGTTCAATCCCCAGCACCACATGCCAGCCAGCCCCGCCCCCTGGTGGGCTGAGCTGGCCACACACACACAAAATAAATAAATAAATAATTTAAAAATATATATGTTACGATATTTAAAAAAAAAAAGAAAGAAAGAAACAGGCCACGCCAAGCTGGCAAGATGAGCGTTACGGCAGAGGACGGACGCACTGAATGCTGTGCTGGGGAAACGACTAGGAGGGGCTCCCGAAATATGCCTGGAGGGCAGGTCCTATTGAACACAGGCGACAGCAGAGAAGGGCAAGAGCCAGTGTGAAGGAAGGGTGCCACAGGAGAGGAGGAAGGGTGGGTAGAGTGAGGACTAGAAGAAATAAAGCTAACCTTGAAACACAGCACGAAGGGGAGATGGGCTTAGGGTGGGAAGAGGGTCTCCTTCTTAAACTGGGAGGCTAGGAGGTGAGGCTGGCTGGAGCCACACAGGATTACAGGATGGGAGGGGCATTTCCTGCTCGTATGATCTGTTTGGGGACAAGGGTTTAGGACAGAGATTCACTGTAAAGAGTGAGAAGGAAGTCCTGGAGTTTTGACAGAGATTGTATTAGGAGTATAAAAGGTTGTTCTATACTTGGGAAAGCGAGAAGCCTACCTAAACGAGGAAGCAGGGGCAGTTGGCCCGCGGGCTCTGGGAGCCCCGAGGAAGAGGGCCTCCACCCTCCCGGGGGGCCAAGGCTGGGTGCTCTCCGCACTGCCGATGGCTCTCATGGGGACAGAAAGGTCAGGATGGCAAGTTCACCAGGGTCGTGGTGTCAGCGCAGAACTCACAGCCCAGAGAGGGGTGGGTGCAGAGCACAGGGAAACCCTGCTCCTGGGTCTCTCAGGTCAATGCGTGTTGTCACCAGGTGTCCCCCGCTGAAGTCAGAAGCCAGGGCACCATTTTCAGTTCTTCAGACGTCACGCCATCACCAGGGAGCATCAGGTCCACAGCCATCCAGGTATCTCCTTGGCTCAGGTGCTGCGCTTTTCCTCTGCCCTGGACCCTCTGCTCAGCTTTCACAGAACTCTTAAAAAGAAAGAAGAGTGCTGCTACCGCAGTGTATGGGCCCACTGTTTCGCTAGCTCTTTCATTATTATTATTATTATTATTATTATTATTATTATTATTACTATTA